CAAATTTAAAGAGAGCTTGGAATGCAAATTCTTTCTTGAGATTTCTTAAAGAGCAACCACATTTACAACCTCTTTCTAAAAATCAATTGCTTTTTGATATTTATTATCTCATTATTACTTTCATATAAAAATAGTTAATTCTTTTATTTTGTACATATAGAAAAATAATTAATCAAGTCTCTACTTTTTTTTTTGTTTCTAATTGGTTATTGAATTCTACATCATAGAAAACATACATCAAAATATCATTAAAAAATTATTTTGCTATATACATAATATAAACTTGTACAACTAAAATAATGTTTAATGAAAAATATTTCTATTATTTAATTTCCCTTTTCTTCAATATTTTCTCATCATAAACAAGGGTTGCATATGATGGATAATCTTTCTTCTATCTTCTTCATTTTCAATCAATTTCATCAAATTACAAATGCCATTCATAAATTATTCAATGATCTTTGAAGTTCAAATTTTTTATCATCTCAAATACAGACAATTATATAACTTTCTGGTCAACCCAAAAAGTGCAATAGGAGGTATTTGATTCTTATTTTTAGTTGATAGAATTTCATGATTAGATCGATCAATACCGATTTGCATATATGGCATTTAAAATCCTCCATTTCCATATACTCAGCCCTATAAAAAATTTGGCATGGAAATGTATGGGAAAATGCATGGAATTTGTATGGAAAAATGCGAATTTCAGGTAAAATTCCATACAGTTTTCTGTACATTTTCACATACATTTCCGTGCCAATTTTTTATAGGGCAGTTCTGGGCTTATGTGTTGTTTCAATTTTATATGCAGTGAACTCTCCATAAGTGCACCCTCTATAAGTGCACACACTCCACAAATGCATGCTATATCTCATTCCCAACCTCGGGACTTAAGAGATAAATGCATGCCTCCATGAATACACTGCATGGTCTTCCTCCATCCCCTTTTATATAAAGCCCAACCTCTCTAATGAAGAATAAAGGATTAAGTAAGCTATTCTTACTTATAAAGAATTAAATAAATGTTTACTAACTCTTCCTTTTTAATTAACAAAGAGTTATATAATAATGATAAAATGCAAATGGATAAATTTATGGGTGAAATCAAAAAAGATCAAGGAATTTTTTTAATATTTATTTGTAGTAAGAGTAAATAAAAAATTAATTTAATTATTTTTTCTTTATGAAAGATTAAGTGTTCTTTCTTTTTTCATTGATGAAAAAAAGAATTATTAGAAAAGAACACAGATGGTGGATCTTTTATAGGTGGAATTATTATAGTAAACCACAATGATATCAATTTAGTCAGCAATAATAGTATGGTAGAAGATCTTTTTAATTTAAGTAATCAGATTTCTTTTATTGGAAAGATTTCAAAAAATTTTAAGCTGACCATTGGATAATCATGTATTTTTCCACAAAAATCATCCGCAATCGCCAAATCAATTTCTAAATAAGGATAACACATCCAACCCACCAATAAAATTGGATATTTTCATGATGCGCAAAATTACGGATGATTTTTGCGGAAAATACATGATTTTGACCATGGGCCTTTTAGGAAATCACAAAAGAAGAAATATCATTCCGAAATTTTACAATTTACATATAGATATAATTAACACATAAAAGCTCCCAACATGAGCTTCATATCAGCTGACATAGAAGCAGTGGGTTTATTAAATATGACATAAAGATAACAAAATGGAGAATAGTAGTGCAATTGACATCCCTCAACTCTTCTACTATTTTTCCCACAAATACTTTTGTTATTATGAATGCAATGACAAGTTATGCAGTCATTTGTTAATAAAATCACTACATAAGATGAAAAGTTATGTTTCGATTTTTATGTAAGGAAAAATGTATCATTTAAAGTAAGAGAAACTATACAAAATCATTCAAAAATTTCAGAATTACAAACCACAAAGAAATTAGATTAGGCTGGATTTTATATTGTTATTCATAAGATTTGAACCATCAATGTAAATATAAGTTTCCAAGTCTTTCTATCTTCTATTGCTTTTGAGATCAACAATATCATACTTTGGAATCAATGGATACATTGTGAAAAATGTAAATAAGAAGCAAGGCAATTAAGCAAAGCAAAGAAAATCTTACCATCATATAAAAATGACTTAAGAAACGAAGCAGGCAATGCTAAATGAGAAAAAAAAAGATGCCATTTTTGGAACAAAAATCAATTGAAATCATTGCCACATTATTAGGATCTTGTGAAGTTGGTTACTAAAATATGAACCCTAAAAATTTTTGACATCAAATGATCATTTTGTTGCAGCATGCTCCATATAGAACTTATGTGTGTAATTATATAGTGGGCCACATAACAATTGCATAAAATTGCATCTAAAAAAATTTCCCTGATAGAATTATTTGCCTATCATAATTTTCAGGCCTTTATCATCTTGATACTATTCACTCCTTCATATGTTATATAAATGTATAAGTACTTACCTCAAAAATTATCCATCTCAATTTCTAATTCCTGCTTTTCTTGTTTCAAATTCTTTGATTCTTCTTTTCATTCTTAATCATTATTTCCATTTGACATTGCCCATTATTGATATATTCTAATTAAAACCAAGAATTGTTGCTGTTCCTTTTATATGGTGCAGATCATCTATAATTAATTAATTGCTTATAGTATCAATTGGTCAGCTTCAAAATACTAAAACAAAAAATTTTTATATCATTTTAAAAAAGTTAACCAATAAGTTTTATTGTTCATGACTCAAGCTTCAAAACTTATCAGTTAACTTTTTCTTAAACTAAAAGTTGGCAGAGCTTAGCATTTTGAAAATTCCAAATTTTGTTATACATTTAAGAAATTGAGATCAAGTATATTTCGTGTAACAAAATATTTTCGCAAATATTTTCTACAACATATTAATATTAATATTAATATTTACTAAATTTGGTCATGCAATTCAAAATATTGTAACACGAAAATTATAACTCTCAAATTTAAAAACCATGAAAAAAAATTGAGACATTTTTTTTTAAAGCTGAATTGAATGGTGATTTTTTTAAAATCCAATATGCAAATCACATAATATTTCAAATATTTTAACTTTTGAGTATAAATGATCTGCACTGTATTCCTTTTCCATCATATTTATTTTTTCTAGAATTCTTGATTTTTGTATTCTCAAAAGTTTCAGCACCAATAGTCACTAGTGATGATTTTTTACGTTTATTAACAGGTGAACCTGGCTTTTCTTCTACTTAAGAAGATTAAGAAGCGTTGATAGAGGATGTGGTATTAGTGTTTTTTTTTTAATTTATTAGAAATAGAGTTAGAACTTGGATTCTTAACTTTTGTTTTAGTGGAGCAGATCTGGTAGTATTAATGATTTTAGTAACAATAGAAGGAATTGATTTATAGTTAATATTAGTAAGTTTGTTGATAAATGTTGGGTTAGAATATAGCCTCTGATGAATTAATATATTTAGTAGTAGCAGCAGCAGCAGCAGTAGAATTGGTGATGATAGATTTATTTCTGATAATTATAGTGATTTACAGACTTCTTCTAGTGCTAACCTAATTAGCTTAGAGCTATTATTAACGATAGTTTGATTATTATTGTTATTAGAAATAGTGTTAATTGTGTTAGGTCTAAAATTTTCAATAATACTAATAGGTCCAATAGTTACATTATTTCTTCTAATAGAGTGACACTAGAATCGTTTGCTAGTCCCGTTGTAGTATTAAAAGAAATAGTATTACTAATTCTAATAACATTGGTAGTAGTTCTAGGTCTAACGTTGGTGATGGTGGTGGTGCTAGATCTAACAACGGTCAGTTTTTTGAATTGATTCTAATTGTCATTTTAGAATTGGTAAAGGTGAAGCCGCCAATCTCATGGTACTGTTATTATTATTAAAACTTTTGTTACGGTTGTTAATGTTGTAAATTCTTTTTTCCTTGATCGTTTGTGATTTTTTAATTTTACTACAACACGTATTTCTGTTATTTACGAGTTCATGGATGGATATCGTTTTGCGCGTATTACAATAATAATTATTATTATTAATATTAATATTAATTTTATATATGTATTCGAAACAACATAATCGTGTAGTTGCAGTTATCCACAAAAAATATCTGCAAATTTCGTGAAACCTCAGAATATCCAATTTTTATTGGTGGGTTGGGTGCGTGTTATCCTTATTTAGAAATCGATTTGGCGATTGCGGATATTTTTTGTGGATAACTATATACATGATAATATTCGAAACTGTGAGAAAAAAAGTATCAATTAATAATTAATGGAGTAATTGAACGCAAAACGTATTAGCTTTAGAAGGAAAATCATATGAAAATAAACATTATCGTGTAACAGAATCTCACACAAAATGGAATCATTTATTTTTTTACATAAATTTCGATCATTAAGGTATGATTTTCTTTACTTCTATCATCGTGAAAATGAAAGTTTATGCGAATTTACAATTCACTTATGTGAAATTCAAATTAGCCAATCAAAATTTCATATCCAAACACCCCACCCCAAAACTTTAATTTATAGATTACGATTTCACATACAACATCATTATCATGTATTTTTGGTTTAAAAAAAAAAATAAAAACAAATCTACATCTAAATTCCTTATATATAACAAATGGCAATTAACAAATAACTATTATAATGATTGATTACCAATAAATTTTCTTTTTTTGTTCGAGATAAAGAATTGGTGATACAACGTATAATTCATACATTTCACTGTCGCACAAATGCCAAAATTTTAGGGAAAAACCCCACCCACATACTAGTAGTATTAAATATTAATATATATATAATAATATATATTCATTTCTCTTTTAATTAATTTCTCCTTTTTTTTTAACAACTTTAACAGTAAAAATTATTATCAAACCTCTTATGCAAAAATTTTTTGCTAATCTGTGGGCGAAATAAATATATATATAACCTATACATCCTATGAAGACCCAACAAGTAAACTCACCAACGATGAACAATGATCGCGTTTCCACAGTAGTAAAAAACCGTAGACCAAAGGTAAAAAACGGTCTTAGCATTGAGAGTGACTCGCAAATACTACAGCAACAACAACCAAAACAACAGTCGCCAAAACTGCAGCAGCAACAGCAGCAGCAACAAATTAATAAATTACAACAACAGCAAAGCCATCATCTACAATCACAAAAATCACAAAAAAAACCTTCGCCTCTTTTACGTAGTAATACAATGCCTGGAAAGATTAATAATAATAACAATTTTAATAGCATTAATAATTATAATGTAAAGGCTAATAATCGTCATAGTACTATTGGATTAACAGATAGAGAGAAATCCAAGTCTGATGATGGATTTCATCATTCTGATTCTGATAAAGATAGTAATCATTCTTCTCATTCTAATATGAGTTCAAGTAGCACTACTAATATTAGTAGCCATCCTCTTAGTAGAAATTCTTCCGTTAAGTCAGACACAGTTGCACGAGTACGACCAAAATCTTCTTTGGGAATGTTAACGGAGAAAACAAAATCGGATAGTCTTAATTTGGCTACGGTAGCTGCTAATAAACAATTAAAAGCTGATAGACAGGCGGAAGAAGCGAGAAAGAATAGAAAGGTATATATGATTAGTGTAACAAGAGAACATATTTGTGAAATAATATGTATTAGATCTTTCAATTTATTTTTTATAATTTTTTATCAAAATGTTGCTCGTTGCTTAATCAATAACTTTCTTTGATATATATTATAGATTGCAGATTTGGAAATCTCAATAAAATCATTGATGAAAATCAATTCAGAGTTAGATGCAACGAATAAAAAGCAGGCCATAGAAATTCAAGATTTAGCAAGACGGCTTCAAATGTACGTATTTTTTTTTTTCTCAAATAATTTATGCACATTCAGCAAATGAATGAATGAATAACACGGTTTCTTTAATCAATTAATTGGTGATAGTAATGATTCTTTTTTATGTTATGAAGATGAAAATGGAAGTGTTGATGAAAATCAAGTAACAACACCTATTTCAGAAGTAAATTTGTTTTTAATATAATTGAGAAAAAAATAACTTTTGTTTACAAAAAATTTTTTTGTTTTGTTTTTTCATTATTTAATCAAATAAAACTTAAATTATACACATATACATAGGTCAATTCAGAAGAAAATAGGAAAGAGAGTGATATTAGATTTCGTAAAATATGCCTAGTAATAGATACATTGATTCGTGATGGGAAGAATGCATTAGAGTACAAGTCAAAAATTGGTGGTAGTAGAGTATTAACCAATGTACAATTGGGTTAGTTTTACTTTTTTTTTAATTGTTCTTGAATAATCATAGCAATAATAATTAATGTTAATAAATCTTAATCTCGTTCTTAGACTTGGAAAAATTAGATGAAGCGCAAAATCAAAATCATAATGATGATAAGCGTCATGACGACGACAATGACGATGATGATAAATTTAAAGATAAACAATTAACACAATCATCAGAATATGCAGTAAATTTAAATAATATTGATTTTAAAACAAAAGAACGTGATAATAATAGCAGTAATAACGATGATAATAATGATTCAATAAAAGAAAATTCAAAAATAAAAATAGATAACAAATCACAGGATGGTAATTCGTCTCTAATTACGAATTCGGGAGTCTGTGTAGTAGACAATTCGAACAGTAACAAAATAGAATTGAACAATAAAAATAAAAATAAAAATAATAATAATAATAATCTTAATCTTAATCTTAATCTTAATGATAAAGAGCGTCGTATTCGTATACATAGTATAATTAATCAACTTTTATCACTTGCTAGATGGGGAGAAGAAAATAATAATAACAACAATAATAACAATAATTTCTTTTCTGCCTCCCCTTCTTCTATACCTACAACACCAAAGACACCGGAACCAAAAGGTCTTGGTTTATTACTTTCTGATCCTACACCACATATTCCACATATTCCAAATTTTACATATACCAGTAGTAATGATAATAACAATAACAATAATGATATACCATCTTCATATACAACAATATTTTTATTACATGAATTGCAAGAACTTTTGGGATTCAATGATAATATTAATATCAACAACAACAACAACAATAACAACAACAACAACAACAACAAAAAATCTTCTCATCATCCTCCAAATTATACACATATTTATCGTAAGAGTATGCCTATAATTACAACTAATAATAGTAATAATATTAATATTCTCTTGGAATCAACACATAATAATGATAAAGACGATGCAAAAATATCACGTCGCAGATCATCACCTAATTTCAGATCATCTTCGTCATCATCATTTATTATTTCTGATAGAATGTTGGATGCCACTAACTCTTCAATATCTACTATTACTACAACTTCTGATGTTTTGAAGCCTCCCTCAATATGGTCTTCATCATTAGGATTCTTAGCACCTTGGAAACATGATTAAATTTTTGGGAGATAAATAATTACTTATTTTATAAAAAAGAACAATAGTTGAATAAATTAAATTGCTTATCTTTTTTTTTTTGTGATTGAATTTAAATTCTTTAAAGCTTTATTATTTTTTGATTTTAATTTATTTTATAATTATTTAAAATGTTTTTGCCAATTAAAAGAAATTAATATAGAAATTGTAAATAATTCATATATTTATATAATAAAATGATAATAGATTGTTTTTTCATTGGTCAAATAATAGTACTTGTTGAACCACCATCAATTCATTGCCCTAAGTTGAACCATCAAAAATATGTCTTGTTCTGATATAAAGAGAGCTTGAAAGGCTTCCCATAATTATGCAAATCCTTCTTTGAGAATTCTTGAAGGACAACCAGTCACAACCTTTTTCTAAAAAATTAATTGCCTTTCATATTCATTAGGACCATTATAATAACTATTATTATTCATATACCTATAATCTTAAATTATAAATTTATGTTCATTTTGTAGGTTTTTTCAATTATTTTAAAATTGAAGAGGATTTCAAGGTTGGTCCTATAGTGACAAGATGAGCAGAATTAAATTTGGGCAAATCTGTAAATAAATATCAAGAATACATTCAATAATTGATTAAAATATGATCATTGAGTAACTTATAAAAAAAAACCTCCCAAGAGATTTGGACAACTGGCTCCATGAAAAATAACAATAACTATGGGTCTAGATTTAAATTGACCTATCATCAATCATCAAAATAAGAAAAACATACTATTAACTCTATTTCATTAAATCATAACAATCAAAAAATAAGTAAATAAAGTATTTAAAAAAGCAAATAAACAATAAAATTTTGCAATAATTTGAAAAAGACTTGATCTTTTCATTCAGTAAAAATGTAATCGAATTATTTGAAGAAGCAGACAGAATTTCAGCCTTCACCTCTATCAACATTCATGCTGCTTTTTTGTTTAATATTACACTTAATGTTAATAATGGTTACAAAAAGCAAATACATCAATTGTTCATTATAATAAAGACCTAAAGACATGACAAATTCTGTTTCGCATTCTGATTTCAATAAAATATTTATAATAATATCAATGCAAAAAAAAGCATCTCTGGTCATTAACAAATAGCACTTCTTCTCTACTACCAACCATTCCAAATAATTACACTTCTAATATGTTTGTCAAACAAGTTTACAAATGAGGAAGCAAAGTGAGCCATCGAGATTTTCATTTACGTTTCTGAAAAACACTCGAAAAATTTATTATTTTAGTTAATATATTATACACAAATTTTTCAAATTTCAATGTGCGCGTGAAAAAATTAATTTTAACTATTAGTCATCAATCCTTTTCCACACGTAATTTCTTTTATCGCTGTTGTATGTGAAATTGAAATTATGTGAAATTGAAATATTATGGAGTGGGGTGAAATTCTAATTGGCTAATTTGAATTTCACACATGTAAATTTGAATTTCACATATGTGAATTGCGAATTCACATAATTTCATTTTCACGTACAACATCGCCATGCTTTAGAGTTGCTTGATATTCCACAACATCACCTTCTTGTTTAAAATACCTCCAAGATATATTACTTTTTTTACTTCCTCCTTATAAATCATTTATTTTTCGTGAGATTTAACAGTATTTAAATCATTCAAAGACGATGGATTTGATGATGGTGTTTTCAGGTTTAGAGCAGGACTACTACACACAAATATAATGATAATAATCATGATTGCCTTAATATATTAATTTCTGATTACATAATTTTTTGATAAGTGAAAAATGAAAAACAATTTTTATTTATTTATTTATTTATAAACATACTTTTTTTTACAAGGTATTTTTTTTTATTACATCAATTCTCTCAAGCCATCAATAACATGTCTATCTACCTTTATGCAAACAAAATCAAAAGATAATATATCCAGAGAATCCCATGAAGGTGCCTACTCATCGCCACATAGATCTGTCCTGTGGCAAACATATTTTCATCAATGGATACAGTTGAATGTGGCAGTGTAAGATCTTGTGTCTTGTGAACAGTGAGTGCAAATGCATTCTGAATTGGGGAATTGCTTCCTGGATGCTGGTATTCCATTGATAGTGAAATATGTGATTTCTCTTTGAACATTTATCTTTACAATATTGTTGGCTGTGGGGAAAGCAACCTTGACATTATCATCATCAATTACTCTTATTGTCCCATTACATATTCCATGTTCAAACAATTTATTATTTAGGAACATTGTGTGAGCGAGCACCTTCCTGCAATGTGATAGCCTTTGGAAGATTGGTATAGTGCTTAAAATTCAACTGATCATCACTATCATCAAACACTTGATGGTTAAAGGCACCTACAGACAAAGATACAATAGTATCAGAGCATTTACCATCAAATGGTAAGTTGCTGCAGATGAGAGAATTGATATCATCAGCTGTTTGTCAAAGCCCAACAACATGTGTTGTACTTAAAATGGCATTTAGATTTTGGGAATTGGAAATGTTTTCATTTATTATCAACTTTGATTTCTCACTAAGGATTCCAAATCTTAACTCTTATAACAAATTGTAGAAACTCAAGTCATCTTTCTGTCATTTTGGTTGATGCAGGAAAACAGGGAAGAATGAATTCCAAGCTGGTGAGAAAAAAACTTGCTAAGCATTGACTGGAGGAAGCTGGGTGAGATCACCAACCACCAGGACTGGGACACCTTGTGGTTCTTGTGTAAAGAACCAAACATGTTGCTTAAGGATGTGAAATGTGTACCTGACACCACAGAGATTTCCTCAACTATGATGGCTATGATTTCTAAAAGTTCCTCTCTTGATTTTTCAGTCTCTAATGACAATGTTTGGTGATGTCCATCAAATTGTCTCAATTTTAGGGCTGAATGGATTGTCCTACCTCCTATATTCTGAGATACAACACCAGTAGGAGCCACTAACAAATATTTGATTCTTTTCAACTGGAGCAGATTTACAACATGGTGTGTCATAAAGGAGTAGGGATGCTTGTTATCATGTTCAGGAACCCATGAATTACATAAGATGTCATAGACTCTGTATTGTTCATTGTCAAACATTAAGATTGATGTCAACTTTGATGATGATGGCTTCTCCAATGACATGAGCTGCTGGTAAATAATATCCCAAAGATCATTTTTATCTATATCTGCTAAAACTGAAATTATTGCCTTTCCAAATGCTTCAGAAAATTGATTCATACTTATCAGTGAACTGTGAGCCAGTCTGGTCAAAGCTTGCTGGTACCTCATTGGATACATGTTCTGGAACCTCTTCCTGAAACTTGAAAACTCCCCAAGTAGCTCACTTTGAGAATGTGCTGGAATTTTCATTATGAGGTATTGGAAAAAAAAAGGCTCACCATTGTCGATTTTGTAACTTGTGAACCTGAGCAGCAGAGGCTTTGTTCACTTGACAACAAACCTGCCTTTAAGGTCTCTTGTTGAGTATAACTTTGATCTTGGGCCTGGGGGTTTGTTTTTAATGTTATAATCTCTAAAATAATCTGGGTAGGTTATGCTTTCAAAAATGTGATTTTTTGGCCTGCAAAAATACTTATCAATCACATCATCAAAGTAAGGACTATCTTCATCATTCTCATTATCCTCATCCTCATTCTCATCATTATCTTGTTCAATTTGCACATATACAGGTTTAAGGGTAGAGTTCGGTTACACATAATAACATATGGCAAAAATTTAAATTTGGCGTAAAAAAAATGGTTTGTACA